AGGCCTCCCAAGGGGCACGGTTCGAGTTGTCCAGGAAACCTGGACACGAATCACTCCACGAGAGAAAGAGTAATCCTGCCTATCTTGACAATCAATGCAACTTGTACCGTACACCGACTGATTTGCGCTTCTCAAAACTGATTCGAGCTGCATCAAGTTTACCGAGCCAATCATCACGGCCAATGCACTCGATGTTGTGGATGAAGGCATTCCATACTTGCACCAAGGCCGTACCGTCTCGGCCACGGCTGCCATCGTACCACCGATGTTTGAAGATTACATCGGTGAAGAATTCTTACTTAGCACGGATAGTTTCCGTGCTGGAATCAGGTGGACAAATCGTCTTGCAATCGAACGACGGGATTCGATCCCGTTCGGTAGTCATGCCGGCCCATCGATCTAACTCCTTGGACGATGGCATCAAAGGAGACTCCACTTGAGAAGAGTGGCGCAGTACATTGCGGTCCTGGCCTCTTAATTCGTGTCAGGTTGAGCACTAACACCAGTGTTACCCCGATTCCTCGAGCTGCTTCTCTCTTTGTGATGCATAGGTGCATTACCACCATAACCACGCGTCCTATCGTCAGACAAAATTTCGCGAGACGAGGATTTGTCAGACGAATCGCCCGGTAAAAAAATTCGTAAGCGATAGTGTCATGTTTCTCAGAGCCAGTCAACGCGGCTCTGGCAGTGTCCCCCCGTTTGATCAGGAGGCGTGAGGTGTCGCCTTCGAGTCGAATAAATCATCCAACTCGCTAGAATGGATGAGCTCTATTTTAGGCTCATCCACATAGCAATTCGAAGTACCCGATGCAGACGCAACAGATGTATCTGTCGCAAATGGTGACTCACCACGTGGACTATTCACAATGGGCACCGCCTGTTGCCAAATCGCAACAGCAGGCGGAGCTTTTGACACCATACGATGAGTAGACAAATGAGTTAGAATTTTACCAACAAGTGCTCCCCTTCTCAGGTTAATCCAACGGTGGTCACCGTGACTCACTCAATTGTATTCAATCAACGGGTGATCGATGGTTAGGGGAGGTGATGTAACGGGGTAGCCCGTTACATGAAATTGACACCAAACGGTGTCAATAGGGACATTGTCAAGTTTGACAATATTCTACCGATATTATCCGAGATGGATAACATTGAACGAATTTTAATCGCTTTTGGATAATGTTCATGTGCTACTCCAAGATTGGCTAATATAAGACATATCAACCATAGATTGCCACTAAACGCTGCTAGACGCACGCAATGAGTGGTGAGCAGGTTGTCGTCATACGACGACGAAGTTCAACATAGTTAGATAAAGATTAAAGTTGTATTGATAGCTTAACTATATAATAATACAGTTCCTATTTAACCTTTACTTGACCGAGTCGTTCAAGTAGATTAGCTTCCTCTGCTCGTGCAAGTGTACGTGGAGTTTCGAGGCACCCCAAACAAAGGGTACTCGATACAGTACGCTTGCTGCGAATGAATTTAAAAGCAGACAGCGACTGAGCGCCATCAAAGTGTTTAACTCGATTTAAAAAAAATTTGTTTTCAATGATTAATCATTTGCAGTGCTTCTTGCTTGCAGCATACAGGGTTGATGTCAAAGGAAAATGAGTATTAGTCGCACTTTTAATATTACAACTGTCATTATCATGCTACAGTAGAATGTAAGTTGTCGCTCAGGCTTTGGTGGATGATATCCTCACACTTGAACTTCACAAAAAAATCCTGTGAAAATTTTACAGACAATTTTGAATTTCCATGAAAAAAATGTCTGGTGGCCTTTTCGTGTCTGTGACAAGTCCCAGCAAATTACTTAGCTTTATATACGTATTTGGTATTTTAAGAGTGTTCTTCGAATTAAACTGATTAATGGTTACTTTCCCTTTCAGATTTTTCAAACGTGTCTAATTTGACCGTCAGAAATACATTAAGAGTATGAGCATTGTTTTGGCGTGTGCACTAGAGCACATTAGTTAAGGGGCACCAGTCGCTTGTACTGTCACAAAACACGCTACTTACTGTAACGCAGAGTAAGGAGGTGCCACGAGACTTGATGTAGCGGAGCTATTTACGCTGACTAACAGAGGAAGTCGTGGACTTGAATAGTCTCTTAGTTACAACTAGCTAACGACGAAGTACAGTCGTTCAAGCGCACGAGCTATAGTATCCCGGTTCCAAAGGGTTAATGATTTACAGAATTACACACTTACCGATCACTACTAACTAAACAACTGCAAGCGCTTTCACAAGACTAACACTCTTACAACACACTATGCCTTGACTAGGCACTAGTGTTAAACGATTTTAAAGTGGAAATGAACTTTATTTATTCGTTTAGCTACGATAATAAAACCCTAAAACATTGTCTAACTGACTTCTACATTACGATCTTATGACGGAAGTCTTATCCCTTACCCTTACCCGATAAAATACGGTATTACCGTAAGTACGTATTACAAATACCATACCACTTAGACCCACGGATATTTACTTGGTGTGGAAACACAACACAATCGACTCAAAGCCGCTGTGTAATCCCGTTGCACCCTCTTCCACGAAACTGTCGACACCCTTGTGTCGAAAAAATTTCTACTGCACTTTGAGGTATTATAAAGCTCTGTTCCTTGATCATCGTGTTCACAACACGTCTTCAATATGACTGAGTCAAATTGTTCGTCTAACACCCTAAAAGAATACCTTGAAGAGGGTGTGGTGGATTACGAGGGTGACACCACTGCCTCGAGCATCTATGATCATCCTCCAGCCACGCCACCGGCGCGTGACAGCACGCGCATCGCGTTGAACTGTTCGTGGAACACGAGGATGTGCCCTAACCCCTTGCACAGCGTGTACCCGTCGACATTGCGTTAGGTATATTGCACTACAAACGTGATGATGATCAAGCAAAATATCTTCAGTTGGTCTATGACCGCGGGCGTCACGCGCAATGTGTAGCCACAACGTATGCTCGCACTGGTTACCGCTTCAATCTACCGACTGTAAATGAGCGTATTCTCCATACTACCGTGAAGTCACTAGCAACATAGATCACGGTACTCATGGCTGTCACAGCCACAGCAGCACTAGCGGAAAGGAAGGCTCTTAGAGCAAGATACCTGAGAGTCAAGTCTTTGACCGTACAATATAACCTTTACAGGCTGGATCTGCAAGCATGAGGTGCGTCAGCATCCGCCATGCGGACCGTAACCGTCGTTCTCTTCTCTGATGACACAGAGACATAAATTGATGTGATCTTCATGCGTGGGTTCACCGAGATCGCCGCATGCCAACCCTGTTATAATTCCAAGCGAGCCATTCACTTGCCAACGTTTGGCTGGAACGGAATATGCGTTTCGATTTTGCCAAACAAAAGGCTAGAGGTCAACTACGATAATTTATCGCACACGCTATGCTGCGGCAGCTACGGACCCACGTACCAGCGCGCCTGGTGCAGTTGCAGCACTCTCCACTCTCACACTGACTAGTGGGAAGCGGTATGGGTCGACTGACCCTGTAAATGTAGTTCAAAAACGACAACGGCAAGCGGACAATCCTGCCACAGTGTCACTTCGTACTCCCATGTTTTTTCCAACTTCGGGTATTCTGGCCACTTTACCAAGTACTGGTAATAACCGTCGCTATGACGTTGCTGAAGAAGACGTATAACATGGCACTGTTATTACCCGTGCTCTTCCGTTAAAGCAGGTAGCGGTCGGTGAATCTCGATGCGTCGTTGAAGAATTAGCGCACGAGGTGTACGGTCTGCGTGACCGAGGGGTGCTTCTTTAAGGACAACTGGATCTTCTCTCGGGGGTTCCTCGACTTGTGGCGTCGCCAATTCTTTCAGCTCAAACGCCCTGTGATCTACCAGCGACGGATCAAGGTAAAAATCAAGCAAGCCGACGCAAAACACGGGGTTTGTTCGCATCTTGCGTGGGAGGTTAAGCGTGTACGCTAGGCCTTTTGTGGCCACAACCGTGAACGAACTAATAAAGCGAGGATACAACTAGGCATTGCAGACCGCTGACACCACGTTGGTTGGTAGATTCTTAGCGCTTAAAAGTTTTAGTTTTACGACCTTATATATATCATTACAGTTTCTGTCTTTGAAATCAGCGTGTTCCTTTTGTTTGTCCTGGCAGTCAGCCATTGCATCACGTACATGTCATAAGACATTTAATCGCGTAGCAAGGATATCGCTCATTTGTATTTGAACAGCATTATGTCTGACATTAGCAAGCCCGTCGTCTATTCCTCCCCCACCAATTCCAGTACCTATTAGTAGAAGCATTAACGGAACGCGTGGGTGAGTGGGACCATCCACGTAAAAAAGAGTAAATTCCACAGGTGCATAAACAGCTTTATCTATCGCAAAATCGACCACCGGGAGCATAGAGATCCAACGCCTAGGCGTTTTATGTAACGGGGCACCCTGAAGCTTGTACTGGTGACAGTACAAGCTACTTATTCTGATAACAGAATAAGGCGGTGCCTCGTAACTTCACGTACACTCGTACGTGCAGAGGAAGACGGTAAGAAGAAGCGAGTACTTGGTTAGAGTAAAAAGTAGAACTGTATTTATAATAGTTAATGTCTGCAATAAATCACTATTTATCTTCATCTAACTATGTCTAAATACAAATGTGTAAATCAGTTATCTGCTCACCACTCATTGCGTGCGTCTGTCGTGGCGCGTCTTCGTTGGTTGATATAATGGCCTATATCAACCAATTAGGAACTACTTGGAAGTGCTACAGAATATTGTCCTTATGACAATATTCTGAGAATATAACTCTTATAGTTATATTCTATTAACAATTTCTTATAAATTGTTATGTAACGATTCACCCCGTTACATCACCCCCTTAACCATCAGTCACTTTAGTGACTGATTGACTAAATGGATACTCGTCCCAAATCATTTGGGACGGGGTTTGCACTTGTTGGTCCGCGTCCACTTTCCAACATCTCATCGCATGGTAAACAAGCCCATGCGATGCGCGAGCAAGGCCGCCGAGAGCGCGTCTGCACGTCTCTGTGCGGACGCCGAAGCAGAAACTACAGCAACTGATGTCCCATCGGTTGCTGAATCGACTCAGCCTGTATCACCTGGTGATGCAGGCGCTGGTCATGAAGACACTCGTGTCTTCACAGAGTACGAGCTCGGTGTCTCGTACTCTCCTGATACGGATGACGGATCCGTATCGACGGCAATTGAATCCAAGCCGCCTGCCAAGCGTGGCATGATGGACGATGCTTTGCGTCGCAGCATCTTTGGTTCATCTGATGAGTCAGATGAACCATCGCCGAAGCGAAGGCGCTCGAGGTCGCGAGACTCGGGCGCTAATAGTGGTGTCGTTTCTCCAATGGACACCACTTCACAGCGAGGTGCCAGTACTTCTGTCGGCACGTCGCAGGAAGAGCGGGACCGCAATGTGTTGCGTCTCGCTCCAGAAAAGAAGGCATGGATGCCTCCTAAATCTGTCATGGATCACTTGTCGGCGACGACGAGTGATCGTTATCGAACACGATTGTTCGATTCGTCGAGGATTCATCACTTGACCCCAGCGCGAAAGACTATCGCGCTGAACATGAGTTCTTCATCGATGCTTTCTTCAGACATCGATGGTACAGTGGGAATCACAAACGTGATGGTCCCTCACTACTTCAGGCGTGGAACGCCTACATCCATAATCTCGAGGATGTAGGTCGTGACGCTTGGAACGACAAACTTATCAAAGCTCGTGATAAGTTTGAAAAGCGAACCCCGACAGGTGCACGCTATAAGCTGCATCGTCTGTCAAGGGAGAAAGGATTACCCTGCCTCTCTTGGGGAGACTCGTGCCCATGTTGTGTGAACAACTCTGCACGAGCACCTAAGGAGGCTTACCTCCTTACCAGCCCGTGGTGGCGCGTACGTGTCTCTACTGAGATGTACGAAGGGATTGACAACCTGAAATCCCTTTACGACCGTGCCGGGAAGACTTTCTCCGGCGGTCCTTCTGCGGCACAGGATGTGTCGCGTCGTACTGCTCGACCAGACCCAGTACGTCAACCATCAATTGGGAGCGGGGCTCCCAAGAATCCCAGGACGGGGGATAGCCGCGCCACCGGACGAGGTAACTCGTCCGACGTCCGTTCACGTCGCGGTGGTTCAACAGCTGCTCTACTAGATAGCGCTGGCCACCGCGAGAGTCCTCTAATGGAGGTGGAGGAGGAGGAAAGACGCTCTCCACACGATCATGTGGATCGGTGTGTTCCCGAGAGCTTTCTTTTGATCGCGTAACGCAAGGGTTACGCGACGATCTCGAGCATGAGCGGAATAGGCGTCTCCAGATGGTGGACACTGCCTCGAAGCATCGAGCTGAGTTTGCCTTTGCTCAGCTTGAGAACGAGAGATCTCTGACATCTCTTCGTGACGAGCTAAGGGTAGCTCGTGGGATTGTTGATCGGTCTCGGGCTGAGATAACTGCTCTTCAGACCCTTGTTGATGCCCACCATCGGGAGCACAAGGCTCTCTGCGAGATGCTTGAGCGCAAGGGCGTTCTTCATCGGAAGAAGCAGCGTACTGATGGTACGGCTTAAGCCGACCAACGTAAAACGTGGGATGCGTTCGCATCTTACGTGGTAACTCGATCGTGTATGCATTGCCTAGGCGGTGCAATACACGAAATGGGCCAATGTACTTGGGTAGTAGTTTACTGCTACCCAAGTTAGTCACTACATGTTTTGGTAGATTAACCGTAGACAGTAGGACTAAGTCACCTTTTATTAAATAAAAGAGTGTTTGCCCTTCCATTCTTGTCAGCGTTTTGCTTTTGCTTATCCACCGCTTCGGCGATGGAGTCTTGCACAAAACGGACTACCGTTTCACGAGCCAGTATGAACTCATCTGATGACTCGTTAGCTTCAGTGTGCTGTGAGCGCACTGCAGCGACAACAACCTTTTCTTCAGTGAGGGCTTCCGCACTCTCACTGGGATCATTGTCTTCAGTGAGGGCTTCCGCACTCTCACTGGCATCATCTTCTTCGATATCGATGTTATCGATATCGGCATCAAACGCAATGACTTCTTCGTCAGAGCGTGATGAGCGTGAACCAAATCGGTTTTTGCTCGCGCGAGTCCCTCCCCCTTAAACCAGAGTTACACTCTAGTAAGGTGGGTACACGCGGATGGCGCAAGCCATTCACGTAAAACGGTGTATGTGTCGTGGACGCATGCACCGAGTTGTTGATGGCAAACTCTACCATTGGCAAAAACTCACTCCAACTTTTAAAGGAGTGTACGTATCCTCGAAGTATCTCTTCGAGGACACGGTTGGCACGTTCCGTCTGACCATCTGACTCTGGATGATCAGATGTTGACATCTTCAAGCGCGTTCCGAGTGATTTGAACACGGAACGCCAGAAATCAGCAGTGAATCGTGGATCTCTGTCTGATACGAGTTCACGGGGCAACCCATGAAGTCGGAAGATGGTGTCAATAAAGACACAAGCACAGCCACTTGCCGTGATTGTCTCTGGTACAGCCACAAGGTGTACCATTTTGCTGAATCTGTCAACAAATACGAGAATACCTGTATTCCCGCGTGCGTCTTTGGGTAACCTGAAGACGAAATCCATTGAGATGGATTCCCAGCACTCAGCCGGAACCGGTAGAGGCTGTAAAGGTGCACGCAGTGAAGGACTTGACTTCACTCGTTGGCAGACTTCGCATGCGCGAACATACTTTCGCACAAACTGATACTGGCGGGGCCAGTAAAAGTCTCGACTTACCGTGAGATATGTTTTCTCTCGGCCACGATGTCCTCCTATAGGAGCATCGTGATACTCGAACATGATCCGCAAACGCAGATCAGTATCATCTGGAATGACAACACGTGGTGTGTCACCAGAAACGGCTGTATAGTACAGTAAACCGTTACGAGTAGTGTATCGATCTGATGCAGATCGATACGCAGACGACAATCGTTTCAACGATTCTCGAGATGGTTGGGAGAGATGTGACAACAACTTCACTATCTCACCATCTTGGGCGTATGCCCGCCTCACATCATCATACAACGTTGTAGATGGAACTGAGGACGTCATAACCGCAACAGTGACTGTCTCACTGTTGGGTTTCGCGACTGTTTCAAAGTCGGGACGACGTGAGAGTGCATCAGCGACGACATTAAGTCGTCCTGGTTTGTACTCGACCGTAAAGTTGTATTCTGCAAAGAATGACAACCACCGCGCCATTCGTTGTGAAAGGTGCGGGCTGTTCACTGCCGTGCGTAAGGACGCATGGTCAGTGTAAACAACGAAGGGTCTATCTCCTAATAGATAGACTCTGAACTTCGCGAGTGCATACTTCATGGCAAGGAGTTCCTTGTCATGCACTGGATAGTTCCGCTCAGCTGGTTGCAGCTGACGCGACTGATAGCAGACGACGCGTTCAACGCCTTCAAGGTCGTACTGCATTAATGCACAGCCGATTGCGAAATCGCTGGCATCACAGACCACATGAAATGGCCTGTCCTGATCGGCTATTGCTAGGACTGGGGATTGTATCAAGCTCTGCTTGATACCCTCAAAGGAGCGTTGACATTCAGCGTTCCATAACCACCTCTCGTTCTTTTTCAACAAACGAGAGAGGTGTACAGTCATCTCGGCGTAATTGCGTGAATACTTATGCAAATACGCCGCTAGCCCAAGGAATTTTCGAAGACCTTTGACATCGACCGGCACAGGCCAGTCGGTGATCGCCTTGATCTTTTCGGGATCAGGACGTACACCGTTCTTACCAACGATGCACCCAAGAAGTGGTATTTCGCTTGCTGCAAATATACACTTCTTGAGGTTTGCATACAATTGATGCTTTCGCATGATTGTAAGAACTTGTCGGACGTGGTACTTGTGAACCTCAACGTCCGACTTTCCATCCATAGCTCGACTATGGATGAATACGTCATCGAAATAACTCGGCGCGAATTCTCGTACTGGCCTCAACAGATGTGATACACACCTGTTGAACGTGGCAGGGGCATTACTGAGCCCTTGTGGCATTACTAGCCATTCCCAGAGCATGCCGCTAGGCGTGCTAACTGCGGTATAGGGTATATCCTGTTCCGCATTAGGATTTGATAGAAGCCATCCATCAAATCCATGGACGAAAAGATGGTACTCTTTGACATACCATCAATGATTACGTCCTTCCTCGGTATCGGCGTCTGAGCCGGTACCGTTGCAGCGTTCAATTTGTTGAACGCGTGCACTATCCGCCACCCTCCTGTTGCTTTTCGCACACAGAAGGTCGGAGAGCTATGTGGGGAAGTTGATTCCCTCACATGGCCCGCTGCTAAACGATCGGCAAAGAACTTGTCGATCGCAAGTACTTGTTCACGAGGCAGTGGCCACTGCTTCATGACACAGTACTTCGAGCCTGGTTTAAGCTCGACTTCGTGTCGAATACCTTTATCCTTCGGTAATTCGCACGGAACAGTTTCAGGGAATACATCCTTGAATTCAACCAAATCTTCATAGAGAGGATTTTCCTTGAGCGATTCCCATGATTGGGACTCATATCGCTCAATTCGTGTCTTTTCATCTAGGACACTCTCGTCCATAGATGAACTACTGAGAACTCTCTCGTTCTCAGTAAACACTGTTGCTGACCTTATGTCGGTTACATACTCGTCGTCAGCGACGAGTATGCAGATCTGCTTGACTTTGCCACTACGCAGATCACGCAAGAACCTTTTATGTTCGAGCGTTGGCAACTGAGTGATCTCCGAAGTTAACTTCGGAGGCGCAATCAGATCAAGTGTATAAGCGCCTACACATGATCCGTTATTGACTATGACATTCAATGTCTCTGTCATTTCCTGGGGACTTATTCCCTCAGGCTTCGAAGGACTTATTCCTTCGTCTTCCCGGGGACTTATTCCCGCGGGTTTCGGGGAACTTATTTCCGCCGTATTTGTAATCTTGGGACTTATTCCCTTTACTTCCTCTAGCTGGGGTTGCGCAACCACAGCGAGATCCTCTACGAAAGACTCTCCAGTCGATCTAGGATTATCGTTTCGCTTAACCTGAGCGATCGATTGTTTCTCTTCTAGATGTTCCCCTCTAGGGATACATCTTTGTCCCAGTCCACCCGACTTATTCGAGTGGTGGACCTTCGGCGCAGCCTGTGTTTCCTCACAGCCGCCGGAACTTTGCTCCGAAGTGTAACCGTTTGGTACACTAAGGTTTTGTGCAGTCGTACTAACGACCGTACCACAAGTGAGGCCATCGCACTCACTCGTAGTACATCCACACGCTTGTGGACGCTCCAAAACGTTCATCAGATGGCCATCTGATGAACAAGCGGCAGGCATCGTTACTGTCCGATGTTGCCAGTTTACCCGTGGTTCGTACCTTCTGAGCCACGGTATTCCAAGGATGACATCAAATTTGTCATCCAAATCCAATACGATAAAGTCATCGTCATATTGGGTATCTTCTAGCGTATAGTGAATCTTCACTATACGCTTCATGACGGTTACGGATGCGCCTGTCGCAAGACGTACCGTCATCCTCGTAGGAGGTGTGTCACATTCACTGAACTTAAAGTGACCATCTTCTAGCGATTGGCGTCGCACAAAATTGTTGGACGCCCCACAATCGACTAGAGCTCGAAGGGACAACTTATTCGTCACTTCGAGTTTCAAGGTAATGAGTGAGATCTCATTACCTAGAGCAGCAACGCACAACGTTTGTGTGTTGGGAGCAACCTTCATCAAGAGGCCTACAAATTCTCTTGACGTTGCTGGATCAGTAGGGTGCTCCGCACCTACTGATCCTGTCCGTTTTTTGACGGTCCATCCCGTTGTTGCGTCTTTGCACCAACTGCGGACCCTCGTCCCTGCCCCTTTCTCATGGGTGGACGGTCACTACGCCCAGTGTCGCGAGACACTGGACGAGGGGCACTACACTCGTAAGCGTAGTGTCCTGTCTTTTGACATCTGTTGCATCTCTGCAACTTCTTGTAGCCTGTAGAGCGAGCCTTCTCGCTCTCTACATAACAGAGTTCCATCGGCTCTGGACCTCCGTTGTCATATCGTCTCGGTTGACGATATGATGTCGAGCTGGCGCGAGCCTGTCTCAGACTGAAGTCTTCCTGCTCCGCAATGGAAATGGCTTGTTCTAGTGAATCTAGTTCAAGCCGGAACAGGTGAGTCTTGACGGGACCATCCGCAAGACCCTGCATGAACACCGAAACCAACGTGTGTTCATCCACCGGATTGGAACTTATACAACTCG